AAAAAAAAATCCCTGTAAAATCCAAAAAATGATAAACTCTGGAAAAGGAACTATGTTATGCAGAAAAATAAACAGAACAACCTTTTTTTCTTTTTTTTTTTTGTTGAAAAAAGTTCTCTCCCTTAGGGTTACATCGAAATTCTTTACCAAATTTAAAATAAAAAATAGAGTTAAAACGTAAAAGATATATATTAAAAATATATATATGCCTGGTCTGGGCAAGTGGGTCCCGTGCCACTCTGGTAGCCTAGACCTGAATCGATTGTGCCCTATTTTCTCTGTTCTCTGCGTCTCTGGATAGATGGGTAATGGACTGTGGAAATTTTGTAGCGGAGTCGTCAGAATCATATGCCCTGCACATCAAAGAACCAAACTGACTCCCCATGAACGAAAAGTTGAAAAGAAAAACGGAATAAAGGAATACAAATTTAATTGAAAAAGTGTTTTGGGGGAGTGAGTTACTCACTTTGTAGAATTTCCCGAATTTGGAGAAATTAGGAAACTCCTGTGGTAGTCCACGGGTGGCCCGCCAGAGGGAAGGTCGCTCGGGTACCCTTCCGAGCAGCCCATGCGGGGCAGCCCATGCGGGGGTCCTTGCCTCTTTTTTTACCTGTCTGGTTTTGCCGGGTGACCCCCCCTCTGCCCAACTGGCCCGGGCATGCCTGGCCAGGCAAGCAAGGCCAGGTGACGGCCCAACATAGGGAAACTCTCATTTTCATAGCTCCGTAAACATTCAACGATACAACATACTGTCAATTTCCTTCTGGAATCTGGATGTCAACAACAGAAGCAATGCCCCCCCCCCCCCCCCCCCCCCCCCCCAAAAAGAAAAAAACTTATTCAACCACCAGTACTTGTCCCAGCTATCGGCCGTCGGAAAAAAAGGAGTAGCAATGTTTCTAGTCGGATGAATTTGGGCGCTCCTGTAGTAGCCCGTAGGTTTACTAAAATCGTGGCGTGTTAACGGGCACGACTCGAGGAAGTACTGGTGGTTTAAAAACCCTAGGCTGTTTTTTTCCGGGCGCTGGGGCACCCAAGTTCTGCTCGGGTACACGCCCGGGTCCCCGGCGGGGTGTTAGGCTGATATCGACATGGCTAAATGTCTGATATCGACATGGCTAAAGCAAAGAGTTAAACCACAAGTACATGGCCTCGGCCTTGCAGCAAAATGACTTGTCGCCGGAAGAAGTAAAAGGCGGGCTCGGGGCAGGGTCGGAGCGTCAGAAGCTTTTTGAATAATTTTTGGGTCCATCTCAAATTCGTACATCCCAAAAAAACAAAACAAGCACTGGCCGTGATTGCAGTTGGATACACTTTTTGGAGTACCCGTGCGAGTTTGCCCTCAGTGAGCAGAACGTAGAACATGGGGAGCAGGACTGCCGGACTCTAAAAAAAAGAAACAAAAAAAAAAGCCTTTGGCCGTGATTGCAGTTGGATACACTT